AGGAACTCTCAGGGTGACCCCTGGTGTGGCACAGGGGCTCTCAGAGTGGCACAGACTCCCTCAGGCTGCCCCCTGCCCTGCTCAGCCCCCCGCGACCCCCATGCCTTCCCTCCCCAGCTCCATGGATCCGTGCCCGGGCAGGCCCAAAGCGCCGTCCTTCCTGTCGGACCTGGGCAAGGCCACGCTGCGCGGCATCCGCCGCTGCCCTCGCTGCGGCACCTACAACGGCACGCGGGGGCTGAGCTGCAAGAACAAGACGTGCGGCGCCGTGTTCCGGGCGGGCGCGCGGCGCCAGCCGGGCACCGATGCCGTGCGCCTGCTGGGCGGCGCGCGGGGCCAGCTCTACTCGGTGCGCCAGCGCGACTCGCGCTGCTTCGTGGAGCTGGGCACCTCCGAGACGGCCATCCAGACCCCCGAGGGCACCCTGCTCACCCAGCTGAGCTCGGGGCGCTGCCACGCGCCCGCCTGCGCCAAGGCGGCGGCCGACAAGCAGTGCCAGCACCTGAAGCTGGCGCTGGGCTGCCAGGCCGAGGCCACGCCGCTGCCGCTCAAGAGCTCGGTGCTGGGCGCCGTGCAGGCGCCCGCCGAGGCCAAGCAGAGCCTGTGGGCGCTGGCCACCGAGCCCACGGGGCCGCTGGTGCAGAGGGTCACCAAGAGCGTGCTGGTGGTCAAGTGCCAGGCCAGCACGAGGCACGGCCTGGGCTACCTGCACGCCAGCTTCGGCCAGCGGCGCTTCTCCTGCGCCTGCCGCCCGCCCGGGCACGGCCGCGCCCAGCGCCGCCAGCAGCACAGGGAGGAGGAGGAGGAGGAGGACGAAGAGGAGGAGGAAGAGGCACCCCCCGCGCGCTGCATCCACTTCCTGGCCTGCATCTGTGCCTTCGCCAGCGACGAGAGCCTGGCACGGGAGTTCTCCGAGTTCCTCGCCTCCGACGGCAGCGGTGGGACTGGCAGGGTTTGGGGTACCCGAAAGGGCTGCCTGGGGCACTCTAAAAACCTGCCTGGGGCACCCTAAAGGCCTTTCTGAGGGCACCCTACAAAGCTGCCTGGGGGCACCCTAAACACCTACCTGCAGGCACCCTAAAAGCCTTTCTGGGGGCGCCCTAAACACCTACCTGCAGGCACCCTAAAAGCCTTTCTGGGGGCACCCAAATGCCGCAGCAGGAACATCTGGGGTTCATTTCCCCAAACCCCTCCCACAGCAGGAATATTTGGGGTTCACCCCATTTAGGAGGTTCTGCACCCCAAGAACCCTACACAGCCCAAATTGCAAACCACCATGAGAGTGGGATAAACCCCCCCTCCCCACAGAGGAGCCTCCTGGGAGGGTGGGGAGTTCGCTGGGCTTTTGGGGGTCCCCGTGTCCCTCGATGCCCCCGTGGCTGGTGGCTGGGCTGTTTTTAGGGACAGAATTTGTGTCCCCAGGTCTGAAGGGGACGGTGACGCCACAGCTGCTGCGGGGCCCTGGCTTGGCACCGCGAGCTCGGGGGGCAGCTGCTGCCAGGGCCAAGAAGAGGAAAAGGGACCCGGGGCCAGGTGAGTGTCCCTGGGGGGCTGAAATCCCCCCAGAACAGCTCTGGGGGGCCAGATCCAGCTGGGGAACCTCTGGAGCAGCTCTGGGGGGTCAGATCCATCTGTTGGAACCCCTGGAACAGCTTCATGGGGTCAGATCCAGCTGTGGAACCCTTGGATCAGCTCCGGGGGGTCTAGATCCAGCTGTGGAACCCCTGGAACAGCTCCAGGCATTGGCCCCAGGCCCGTGGGGGTCACTGGTGGTGGAGGCCCAGAGGAGGGAGGTGGCAGGGGGTGGCAGTGGGTGACACCAGGTGACAATCCCTCCCTCAGCCCCGCAGGTGCCCGGGCCCCTCCTGGCTCCAGACCCGGCTCACCCCGGCCCCAGGAGGAGCAGCCTGAGGAAGCTGCCGCTCGTCTCCTCCTCCCCTTCCTCCTCCTCCTCCTCGCTGAAGAGACACGGTGAGCACGGCTTGGTGGGGATTTTGGGAAGGAGGTCCTGGGTTGAGGGTGGGGACAGGCTGGGATGGAATTCCCAGAGCAGCTGGAATCCCTGGAAGTGTTCAATGCCACGTTGGAACCACCTGGGACAATGGGAGGTGTCCCATGGTGGGACTGGATGGGCTTTGGGGTGCTTCCAACCCAAACCCACCCAGGATTCCACGTGCAGATTTGCAGTGGGGTGACATTCCCTGTCCTTTCCCTGGCTGGGCAGTGTCACAGAGTCCTGGGGTGAGGTCTGGGTGACATTCCCGTGTGCCTGCCCTGTCCCCTCAGGCTGTCACCAGGTGCTGGACGAGTCCCAGGTGTCCCTGTCCTTCCAGGAGTGGCTGGGCAGCGTCACCGAGCGCATCCACCAGACCATGCACTACCAGTTTGAGGGTGAGTGAGTGTCCGGCCGCAGGACGGGGAATTTCGGGACGTTTTATGTTCCATTCAGGGAGCAAAACACTTTTGGTGACTTTTTGGGAAGACTTTTGGTGACTTTTTGGGAAGACTTTTGGTGCCATTTTGTGAGTGCTCTGTCCCTTTTTGGGAGCACTTTTGATGCCATTTGGGGAATGCTGTGTCCCTTTTTCAGGATGATTTGGTGTCTTTTTGGGAATGTTTTTGGTGCCATTTTGGGAAGACTTTTGGTGCCATTATGGGAAGATTTGGTGCCACTTTGGAAATGCTGTGTTCCTTTTTGGGTACACTTTTGCTGCCATTTTGGGAACATTTTTGTTGCCATTTTGGGCACACATTTGGTGCCATTTTGGGAACATTGTGTCCCTTTTTGGGAGCACTTTTGCTGCCATTTTGGGCACACCTTTGGTGCCATTTTGGGCACACCTTTGGTGCCATTTTGGAAATGTGTCCCTTTTTGGGAATACTTTTGGTGCCATTTTGGGCACACCTTTGGTGCCATTTTGGAAATGCTGTGTCCGTTTTTGGAACACTTTTGGTGCCATTTTGGGCACACTTTTGGTGCCATTTTGGAATTGTTGTGTCCTTTTTTGGGCACACTTTTGCTGCCATTTCAGGCACACCCTCCCCTCACCATCCACACCATCATTCTCCTCCCGCTGACCCCAAACCAGCGCCAGGGAGGGGTCAGCCTCCAAATCCCCAATATTTCCATGGAAATTGCACCACTGCCGGTGCCCTGAGCCACAGGGCCACTTCGGGGTGAGATTTTGGGACCCCCAGCCCCTGCCCTGAGCCCGCTGTGCCCCTGCCAGGCCACCCAGAGCCGCTGGTTTTCCACATCCCCCAGTCCTTCTTCGAGGCTCTGCAGCAGCGCATCTCCAGCGGCAGCGGCAAGAAGAGGCTCCCCAACTCCACCACGGGTGAGGAAAAAGGGGGAAAACACAAAATAAAAAAGGGAAAACCCTACTGGGAGCTGAGTTTGGGGGAAGGAGAAGGGGCACGGAGAGGATTCAGCGCTGCCTGGGTGGTTCGTGGATTTTTTTTTGGGTGCTGGGGAGTGGGAGATGGGAAATGGAGGGAAGGATAGAAAAATAAAGGGGGGAAGAAAGATGGAAAACTAAAAGGGGGGAAAAGAAATGGGGAAAAATAAGGGGGGGGAAAGGGATGGAAAAATAAAGAGGGGGGGAAAAAAGGAGAAAAAAGGGATGGAAAAATAAAGGGGAAGAAGGATAGGAAAATAAAGGGGGAAAAAAAGTAAATGGGGAAAGAAGGGGGGGAAATAAAGGGGGAAAATAAAGGGGGGAAAAATAAAGGGGGGGGGAAAGGGATGGAAAAATAAAGGGGAATAGAGGGAGAAAAAAGGGGGAGAGGGAGGGATGAAAAAATAAGGTGTAAAAAGGGATAAAAAAGGGGGACGGAGGGAAAAGGAGAAATAAAAATGGGAGGAAGGGGAGAAAATAAAGGGAGGAAGGAGGGGAAAAATAAAGGGAAAAAGGGGGGGAAGAGGCAAAAAAGGGAGGGAAAAGAAGGAAGAAAGGGGGAAAGGGGAGGAAAAATCAAGAGGGGGGAAGATCAAAGGGGCCGGAGCCCCCCCGAGACCCCCCGACCCCTCCCCGCAGAATTCGTGCGCAGGGACGCGCTGCCCCTGGGCACCTTCTCCAAGTACACCTGGCACATCACCAACGTCCTGCAGGTGAAGCAGATCTTCGACACGCCCGAGGTAAGGCCGGGCTCCGTCCCCCGGACCCCCCCAGCCCCGCCGGGCCGGGCCTGAGCGCTCCCCGGCCCGCAGGTGCCGCTGGAGATCACCCGGAGCTTCGTGCAGAACCGCGACGGCTCCTACGAGCCCTTCCGCAGCCCCCGCGTGGAGGTGGAGCCGCTGCCCGAGGGGCTGGGCCCCCACGAGAAACAGCCCCCGCTGCGGCCCCTGGAGCTGCAGACCTTCCTCAAAGTCGGTGAGGCTCGGGGGGGCACGGGGG